TGTGTTCAGCACCCTCTATCCAACAGGACCAACAAGCGATGCTCACTAAACATTTTTTTTTTCGCCTCCCATCGCACATGGAAGTCGCGGAATGGGCAGGGGGTAATGGGGGGGAGGTTGGAAATTGAAAACAACGCGGGACGGATCTTATTGCCAGTTGGACCAGCAATGAGCATGACCAGGTGTGGGAGAAATCCCGGTAAACCGGTGAGATTGTGGAGAAGGGTAGGAAGAAAAACAAGGGGAAGCCTCCCGCCGACGGGAACGGACGGACGGACTGGAAGTCTGGAATGAGAAAGGGTATGGACGATCAACCCCCCGAGATAGAAAAGGATGTTCTAAACACCACACAGACTTCGGACCGGGGGTTGGCGGGCATCAACAGTTCATAATGAATAGGAGGGTGACTTGAGAGAGAGGGAGAGAGGCTTGTTAAGAAGTGTACAATAGCTGCAGGTAGCCGAGACATTGGTCCATACCCAGTTTCGCCCGTGGCACTTTGCATTTTACCGTCTGCAAGTGTCTCTTTTCTTTCCTTGGCCGCTCGCATTCTCATTCGCGTCTCTTTAAGTATCGTCCCTAGCTATTTGCGTTCGTTATTCGCGGCAACGTTGCGGACTTTGCTAGTCGATTGACGATTTTACGCACGGCCTTTGGCCCGCCAAGCTTCGCCGGTGGGATCGGGAGAGACTTGAAGGACCGGAGACCCCCCTCCTCCCCCTTTCAGACCTCATCACTGTTGAGTATTTCTTTTTCCACCTCATATCCGGCGTGGTTGTGGGGTGGTTGTATGCTTCTACCCGAGGCGCAGGGCCACGAGTTTAGGTGGTAGCTTGCTGTATCGGTCGTTCAGGTGTGACCTGGCCCTGGATTTCCTTCCAGTCCCGATTACCCGCCACTCGACTTATTCAGACTACAGATGTTCACAGGCCAAGACACGAGACGAACACGAGTCGATGAGCTGGAGCGTCGATGACAAGTACAACTTCTCTTTCGACATGGGTAGACAACATCGGCGAGAAAACGGCTAGCAATCATGACAAGCGGCCATGTCGATTCCTGTTATTGGCAAGGTTTCCAGACCTCCGGTTGCCAACGTACATCGTCTGAGAATATGGATATGGATACAGAATGCGTCTTCAACGGGGTCGGCTGATGGCAACGACAGGATCTTGGTCTCCAGCGGTCTTGATTTGTCCAAACCTTCCGGTCCTGGTCAGTCGCACTCACGCACTTGCTGAAATATCCTGCTTGCTGACGGAAATGATTTGACTGGAGCTGACAGGTCTTGTGCACTCGCATGTAAGCACCAACTGTGTGGGAGAATTTGAGAAGCGGTAATAGCCCTCCCTCCCCTGCTGTCCCTCAAGTTACTGCTTACACATCAGGTAAGGGACCGGGCAGGTAGAGACAACGGGTAATGTCGAGCGCTGGAAAAAGAAAACAAGTGCGGAGCTGAGGACCGGAGTCATGGAGGAAATGGGTTGTGAGAGGTTAAACTCGACAAGCGCATGCTGTCGAATGTGACTTATCATCCCACAACGGTCCTCCTGTCACGCGCGCGTGGCTGGGGCCCTTGGAGGTGGGCTCCGATGGTCGACGGGCTGGCAGGGAAGTTTGAGGATCCGGATGCAGTCGGGCTCTTTCGGTAGGTCGATGCGGCTTGATGAATACTGATGAGGTTGCAGCCGGGTCAGATGTTGGGTAGGATGCTTGATTCACGGGTTATGTCAGCTTCTATAGGTGTGCCTGGGTTGGTGAGTGCGTAGGCAAAGAACATGACCACTCGATGGGGTTAAAGGACGCAGAACATTGCAACTTGCGAGAAGTGTCAGCAGCGCCAGCTGTCAGTTCTATAACACCCCATCGATGTTCCGCATATCTGGTTGCAACTTGATATAACCAGGAAGCGAGCGGGGAGTCAGGGGATCGACCACCGAAAAGAAGTCGCAGCCTGTATCCTCAGGGACTAAGACCTTTACCCATTGTCTCTGCTGCTAGGTGGCAGTCGGTGAAGGTCTAGTCATTGGCCGTTTTCCTATTTCAACGACTTACATGAGTGGGCTAGCATCCCGGGATGCCCAGACCCGAGCCCCATGGGCCAGAGACGAACCCCGGGTGACAGATCACATCGCACGCATTCGAGACCGGGCGAGCCCTCGACGCACCTTGAAAGATGCGGATTTTGTCAGAGTCGAATATGACTGACACAAAGTGATCGTACGAGGTGAGCAATGCCAGATGGTGGTCTAGGTAGCATGCCTGGTAAGCCGGAGGAGGAGGAGGGAAGAGGAGGCTCAGAAGCTGAACACGATAAGCGCCAGGTTGAGATCCTTTTTGAAGTGGTAAAGATGGGCCATCGGATTGCGACGGGTGGTTGATTGGATCTCGGGGTAGGATCTGCGGTGTCGAGGAGGCTTGCGGCAGGTCAAAGGTTTATTCGCGCACTAGAATGAGGTCGGGACGCCATTGTCGAGGTGGGTGGCTTCTTTGCGTCTGCTCATGACCAACTAGTGCAGTGTGAGAGTCAGTTTGAATCGAAGCCGTTGGATGCCATTGCTGACCCGTCACAACGGCACCTCGACCGTGACGTCAGGCAAGCCGCAAAGCTGAGGGAGCAATGCAACAATGCAGGCCCTTGAGGCCCACGAGGGAGAAGGGCACGCCGCACAAAACATGTGCAGCAACCTGGAGGTGAGGTTAGGTGATGTGTGTGGGGGGAGAAGCTAGAATGAGAGAAGGGCATCTCCATCTTTGCCTTCATCGGGTGGGATATCCGTACTATTCGGCATTGAATTGAAAGCACTCACCCCCACTGCCTTCTACTTGCGGCGACTTGCCTTTACTGCGCAGGAAGATAATCTTTTGGGAAGCAAGCCAGCAAGGCACCCTTCTTGTGCGACCTGAGGTGGCAGGACGGGAGCGTGAAGCTTCGGCTGGCTGGCCAGGTGGGAGCTCCCGTCCAGACTCCAGAGCGGCAGAGCGGTGCTTGGTCTCATTCGTGTTCGGCCTGTATTCGAAGCAAAAGGTGTATGGCAGTCCCGACTCCCAAGGAGCGAGCCAGTGGCCCATTTGTGCCAGCCCAGCCCAGCACACGCACACGCACACACACACAACACACCATTCTCTCGTCAGAGTCAGCCATGCATATGATATTGGGAAGTGGCGTCCCATAGCATCGCTTGTCGCACACTGCGAGGCAGCTCATGCCCAGGCGCTTTCCAGACCGAGCGCCCCTTTTTCTCAGCGGTTCGCTCCCTCGTTCTTTACAAAGATGCAAGAGAGGTGAAAGCGAAGCCACGCCGCACAGCCCGAGGCCAAGTGACCTCCAAAAGACAAGACAAGATATGGGCCTGGGACTGGGGTCCACGTCGGCAGGACAAGCCTACGAGGTTGGCTGGTGAGAGTGGGTGTACACCCCCGGCATCGGTGTGTGGAGATATCGCTCGCCATTGCTCTTTTGCGCCTCTATTCGTACGAAGGGCTTCAGCAACCCGGTTCAATCACAGTACAGTGTCTCGCTTGTGGTTCCTTTGAATGCCACTCGACTGCTATGGCTGGGCCATTGTTGACGATTCCAGCTCTGTGGATTTCGTCTCAGGAATGAAGCCATTGGGGCAGCAAACCGCATGGGGTCTAGAGAACAATAGCCGCCATACTTCGCACTCTGTGTGGTCGGAACACAGAAGGTCCGCACACTGTAGATACCTTGAGGTAAACGTAAATGTGCCAGGTTTTGGCTGTGAAGTGTGTGTGTGGTTCTCCTCATGCATCATCTGCGATTGAACTTGTGCTTGCTAATGGATTGGAAGGTAAAAGTTGGCGTCCGAAGACGGTAGTAAGAGCTGGGGGATCAGACCCTGTCACAGCACACCGAGGTTGAAAGGCCGAAGGATTATCGACTTTGAGTTAACCGCGAGTACCTTTGGTGTGGTGCATGATCCACGTGAGACAAGGTATCTTTCCGTGGCGAGAAAGTACCTGACTTAACATGCCTTGAGGTAAGCGTCGTGGTAAGGTGGTGCCGTGGTGCCTGCCCCAAGGGGGTTCAGTTGCGACTCAACCAACTCGCCGCCTCGCGCTGCTGCTGCTATGCTAGGTAGGCCCGGCTGAGGAATACCTAGATACCTTGGGTAAGATGCTGCCTTTCACTGCTCCATTTGGCTGACGCGCCTTTTATTTTATGTTATGTTTTTTTTATTTTCTACCGGTATTATCCTTTTCCTTTGCTACGGGCTGCTTGCCAACACCAGCGCTACGCCGCCAACACCCACCCACCCACCTGGCGCTCCCATACACAGTAAGATAGGTACCTTCCTTACCTTACGTAGGTAGTACCTTGGAGAGTACCCACTGCCTGTCGGAGTTGTCCTCCCTTCGCTTCCATTGGAATCCCAGCCAAAAGACATCCCGCTCGGGTCCAAGTCCCGCTCCCGCCCTGCTACAACACCACTGCTGAGGTGGACTCGATCTCGCCGCCTATCCGCCTGACCGCATTCCCAGCCCAGCATCCACACCAAACGGCCCTCCATCAGCGCCCTCATCTTTCCGCATCGCTCTTTCATACTACCGCCGACAACGTCCGCAACGACGTCTCTGAATCTTTGCACGTCGCTCACACGCTGCTTCTCTCGCACACTGGCGTCTGCCACCACTTACTCGAGCTCAGCTGTCTACCGCCTTCAATAGAGACGTTGCACACCCTTTCTACATTGGCGCCGGTTGGGACCTAGTGTGTTTGGTTTGGAAGGAGAAGGAACAAGAGACGGGCCTTGCTCAAGTTGGACGTCTGACTGGCAACACTGACTGCTGCCTTGTCCACAGAGGTGTCGGCTCTGGAGGGAGACAACCTTCAACTTCCATTCGCAGCCGCAATAGCAACCACAAGAGAGGACGCATCTATCCGACCCGACCACGGGTGTTTCTCTCCCTTGTGCAGCAACCCTCGATGTTCTTCGATCCACCTACACCGGCTACGGCACACAATTGAAGAGACCACAATGCGGCCGAGGACCTCGGAAACGGCATCCCAGCCTTCTCAGGCTCAGGCAACATCCGTTTCCTCAAACCATCACCAAGCACTCGGGTCCGCCCCGCCTCCAGTCGATACTTACTCCGATCAACAATCACCATACCACCTGCACCGCGAACCCAGCCAGCAGCAACAACAGCCTCACGACCCGCCGACACATGGGCAAGCAGCGTACTCTTCTTACAGCCAAACATTTCCCGTGATACCCTCATCCTACTATCACGAGCCCGGCTCGTTTATACACGACGACTACGACGATTACGAAGACTACGACGATGACGACGACGAAGATGTGGAGGATGAAGACGACGATCTAGACATGAGCGACAGCGATGGAGGTGCTCCCTTGGACCACGTCATGACAGTTACCAGCCTCTTGTCTCCCATGTCCGACAACGAGGCCGAGATGGACCCCCCTCAATCGTTCTCAGAGAATCATCACTTCGACCAACCCGCGCATCCGCCACAAGAGCAACACACGTCCACGGGGCCGCCTGCTCATATGGTTAACTACTGGAACATATCGATTGCAGCCGGCCAAGCATATCTTGATCCGATAGCAGCCCATCATCCGACCCCGCTTGATACGACTCCTTTCCATCCCATGCTTCATGCTGGAGCCATGGATGATGACGACGACGATGATGTTTTCTATCCACCTGTAGCCGAGCAGCTTCAGCAGTTCCAAGCAGTGGTTGCCAATGAGGACGAAATAGCATGGGAAAATGCAGGTCCGCCGGCCCTCAGCAATCCCAACCCAAGCACCCTCGGCCCGGAAAATCCTGGTCTGACCGATTTCCTCAAGGGCTGGGCCTGGCGTAACGGATTTCAGTCCCGAGGACCTAGTCCTGGAATTCGTCAAATCAATGCACAGGTCTCGCGGGATGTCACGCGCGTACGATACTCGGACTTGGAGGGCGACGCATACGACGCGCAGGGCATCGACTGGGAAGCCTTGGGGGTGACACGTAAGAATGCTCGAGAGCGGAGATGCCTGGACTACAAGAACTACACCAACAGGACAGATTCAGACATATGGGCAGTAAGTCGCCTCATGGAACATGGAACAAAACGAACCCAGAACTGTAGCTAACACGATGATCACAGCCCCATCTGCCAGACAGGATTATACGAAATACCGAAGATTTCTTCAGATTTCGTCGCATGGACGTCCGTCAAAATGTTCACCTCGCCCATTTCCAGTTGCGCAATATTCTAGCATGTGCTGGACGCAGCCATGCCTTCTACCCGGGTCAGCGAGCCGTTCACCGGATCAACCCCGTATCTGGCGAGAGCGAAGTGGCCATGGACCTGAACGACATGATTGGTGTCCAGATTTCAACTTTGGACGCCAACTGCGGTATCTTGATTGCGGGTACTTTCAACGGAGAGTACTGCATGCGAAACATTTACAGCCAAGACAAGAAGTACACTGAAGGACAAATCACCAGCCACGTGAGTGGCATAACCAACCATTTGCAGATCCATGCTTCCAGGAACTCATCCTCACCGCTGGCCGCCTTCGCGTCCAATGACCAAGGTTTCCGTGTCATGGATGTAGCCACCGAAAAGTTTGTTCTGGATACGCAATACGGCTGCCCTATCAACTGTTCAGCTCTATCCGCTGATCGTCGTTTGCGTGTAATGGTCGGTGATAACTACAACGTCCTAATTGCGAACGCGGATACTGGTGAGATATTGCAAGAGTTGGGAGGCCACCGTGACTTTGGGTTCGCGTGTGACTGGTCAGACAATGGCTGGACTGTTGCAACCGGTTTCCAGGACATGAGCGTGAAACTCTGGGACGCTCGAATGTGGACCAACTCAGACGGTACCAGCAAACCACTCACCACGATTCGCTCAGAGATGGCAGGTGTTCGCAGCTTGAGATTCTCTCCCACGGGCAGCGGCCCTCAAGTCCTCGTAGCAGCCGAGGAAGCCGACTACGTCAACATCATCGACATTCAAAGTCTAGCCCACAAGCAGACATTTGATATCTTTGGGGAGATTGGAGGTGTCGAGTTTACCAACGACGGTCAGGACCTCAATATCCTCTGCATGGATCGCACTCGTGGAGGGCTGGTACAACTGGAGCGTTGCGATATAGCGTCCAGCTCCGAATTTGAGTACGCACATCAAGCGGCGGCCATGGACCCATGGTGGAGATCCACCCAGAGCGGAATACTGTCTGATGCAGAGGTGGTTCAATCAAAATTGTCGGCTCAGCGAGAAAGAGGGTACGACATCTTTGATGATTTGGAGCCTTTTTGAAAGGATATGATACCCCCGTTGCCATCAGCTACATCTGACAATTTTGGCTGCGTCGGGGACGCGTTAAACTACTTGACGGCGGCGTTCTGACATTATTTCGGCTGCCACGCCGTGGCAACACTGGTCAATTTGGCGTTTACTTACGAGCTCTACCTCGGTTTTTGAAGCTTCGACCTGCCCACATTCGATGGAATGTGTTCCACATATAGAAAGTGCCAGTGCCTCGATGCGCTGGCTTGGGGGAAAGACGGTTGGGAAAACTTTCTATGGTCCGAGACTTCTACAAGCATCATTTTCTTTTACTTTCTTCATATTTTGGCAATCAGCACAGCGTCGTCACTGTTCATACTGCATGGAGGGGTTTATAACGACGTAACGGAGGGGCAGTGGGAAAGGTAAAGGACGCAAGGCATCGGTTGGTGTCTGCTGGCTTTCTTGGCCCTTTTTCTTGTCCGCAATATTCTTACTACGGACGTGTCGGTATTTTACTCGAGTGTGTAGAAGCTGACATCAGTTTCCTGGCTGCATTAACTTGTTTGGCACGGCGGGACGCGCGGATACACATTACATCTTCTCTTGACACGATGGATGAGAACCTCGGGACCTGGATTTTTCAGCATTTTGGCTTCATTTCTGGGGAGTTGGTATTTTTATGGCTCGGTCTGTTTACTAGAAGATAGGTGCATGAAAAGGCCAGAGAGGGGGGAGAGAGGGATTGGGATTAATCCATTGCGGGAGGGCGATATGGAGAGCGGAATATATCCCAATAAAGACGTTGACGAAATACCACTTTTCATGACCTTGCCTTGTTTGTATGTGCGTTATTGCTTTTTGTGGTTGTTAATTTTTTTATTTCATTTTTGGCCTTTTGTTCTCCCCTTCATCTCATTTCTCCTTGTTGGACATTACGTATTACTTTGGGGTATGCGAAACGTCCCAGCCCGAGTTCACTTCACGGACCAACAGTTCGGACGAGAACATGAGATCAAGATCGGGGGGGGGGGGGCGAGGGGTCAACTGCAACGTCATGCTACAGATGGACTTCTTGCCCCTTTGAACATTGGTGTTGGTAGTTGATTACCCCCTTGAAGGAAGGCAGAGAGATGGAGATGCGTGATGGGGAGGGCAGTAACAGACTTTTTGTTCTTTGTTCTGCACAATAACCCCCTTTCTGCGCTGCCTTGTCTTTTTTGACCTTTTGCGGAACACCATGGAACTTGTGAATGAGGCCTGGATCTAAGTTTGCGCCGAATGCAGTACGGTTCAGGAGAGGTTCACATATGTGTTCAACTATTTAAGGGTCCGTCTGGGGTCCTACATTAATAATGACGTTGGCAAGGTATATCGAGGTATGTATATTTATACAAACATTCTCCGAGAACATGGCATGACCTCCCATACGTGAATCGAAATGGAGCATACACATACATATATATATACAGAGATAATTAAGCTAGAGGCAATATATATAAATATAGATCTCGAACCCGTAGGGAGGAGGGATCACTTGAAGTCCTCTACTATTTGCGGGGGTGGGGTGGGGTATCCAATTGTCATTGTACACTTGAAAGGGAAACGTTGCAAATCGTCTTCGTTGGAAAAGAAGGGGGTTTTCTTTGTCTTTTATCTGGATTCATGGGTACACCTCAAGGCAACGTCGGAGGGAGAACGGTTGGTCTCTTTTTTGTGTTCAAGTGCCGAACGTTGAATTAGAAAATAATTGGGGGGGCTATCCATTTGTTGTCTCCGATTTCCCTTACTTGTTCCTGGTCTCGTGATGCTAATTCTCTTTAAGCGGAGAAGAGGTCACCGCAGCCCCAGGTGCGCTCGCAACCGCAGGTGCCGGGGTCCTTCCACTCGTCGTTGTGGAAAGAGAAGAAGACGGTCTTTCCACCGGCGAGCTCCTTGATAGAGGCAATGGCGGTGGCCTGCTCAGAAGTACCGGGGCAAGCCTTGCCGTTGCAGTTACCGCCGGAGGGCCATCCGCACTCGAGGTTGTAGGCGGGCTTGGTGCCGCAGATCTGGGAGCTCTCGAGGAGCTCAATCTGGCCCTTGACAAAGGTACCGGCGTCGGTGGCAGCAGTCTCGGCGTTGAAGTAGGGGTGGATCTGACCTCCGACAACGTCGATAACGTCACAGATCTCGGAGATGACATCAGACTGCTGCCAGACACCAACGGTCTCGGCGGTGGTGTAGGGACCAGAGTAGCCGGCAGCGGTGATGGCGGCCTTGGTGGAGACGATGAGCTGCTTCAGGGAGCTGGCGGAGCAGCGGCCCTGGAAGATGCACTCGTTGCCGATGACGACGAGCTCGACCATGCCCCACTGCTTCCAGGCGGTAATAGCGTCAACCTGGTTCTTGATGTCGGCGGAGTTGGGGTCGCAAGACTCCTTGACGAAGATACCAATGATCATCTGAAGGCCGTACTTCTTGCAGGCGGCGCCGACGTTCTCGAGGGTGCTGCAGTCGGTGGAGTAGACACGGACGGTGCGGAAGCCGGAGTTCTTGATGGTGGAGATGTCGGCATCGACCTGGTCAGCGGTCTTGCAGGATCCAGAGGCATCCTCAGAGAAGGGAGTGTAGGTAATGGCCCAGTGGTCGCCGTTGTTGCCTCCGAGGCCGCCGCCGGTGGCGGGGGCAGAGGAGGAAGGAGCGGCGGCAGAGGAAGTCTTAGCCGTGGTGGGAACAGGCTCGGGGGTGGCGACGGCAGAGGTTGTGGGAACGGGAGCGGGGGCCTGAGTGGTGGGCTTGGCAGCCTCGGTGGTAGGAGCAGGCTTGGGGGCCTCAGTGGTGGGCGCAGGAGCAGGGACAACGACCGGGACGGAGCTGCTGGTGGGCTCAGGGTTCTGGCTGGTGAAGGGGCAGACAACGACGACGCTGGTCTCGGTGATGGTGGTCACGACGGGAGGGCGGACGTAGGTACCGGGGACGATCTCGGTGACGACGGGGTAGACGCAGGTGGTCGGGGCGGTCACGGTCGTGGTGGTGGGAGCGATGGTGTAAGTGCCAGGGGTAGGGCAGACGTAGGTGGTGGTCTCGACGACGCTGGTGACAACACCATCCTTGGTCTTCTCGGTGGCGTACGGGCAGACGACGGTAGTGGCCTCGACAACAACGGTGGTGACACCGCCGATGGTGTGGACACCGGCAGGGACCTTGGTGGTCTCGGGAGCGCAGACGGTGGTGGTCTGGTTCACGGTGATGGTCGTGGCCGGGAAGGTGTAGGTGCCCGGGGTAGGGCAGAGCTCAGGGACCGGAGTCGGGACGGGCACCACGGGCTTCGCGGTGGACGTGGGCTTCTCTGCGGCCTTGGTGGTCGCAGGCGCGGGCGCCGAGGGAAGGGCGCTGGCGACGGACTTGCTGCTGGGCTTGCTGGGGGGGTTGGGAACCACTGTTGATCGTCAAGTCAGCACAGAAAGATCGATACAAGCTTTATCCACCTCCGTACCGCCCAAGACTCTGTAGGGCTACAGAGCAAGGTTGTTTCTGGGTAATGGATGAGAGTGAAAGTGAGTGAGAGACATACGCGTAGGCTCGCCATAGATGGTGGTGTAGATGGTGGTGCAGCCGGGAACACAGACGGAGGCCTGGTCAGCGCCTCTCTTGAAGAGGTCGGCGTGGGCGTGACGGTGAGCAGCGGCGGTGACACCGGTGACGGTCGCGGCAGCGACTGCGAGGATGGAGCCCTTCATTGTGAATTAAGTTGCCTTTTTTTCTTGAGTAGGGAATTGAGTATTATCGACTTTGGGAAGCGAGTGCCCGCTAAAAGAGTGAAGCGGTAGTGAAGGTTTGCGCGTGTAGAGACGAAAGGGACGACGAAACTACGTTGACGGCATCAACTCATTTGACGGTGTTTTCGTAAGGGAAGAAAAAGGGAAAGAGAAAGAGGAGGAAAGAAAACTGGCGGGACTGGGATGTTATTATTGTGATGGTGGTTAGATTAGGTAGAAGGCTAGTATCCGTACTTTCATGGGTACGACCATGAGAAGTCTAGCATGTCCCCGGGGGCCCTGGGCCGGGGTGTGTGCGCGAACGGTGTGTGTGTGCCCACTTCCAGATGGATGAATGGGCCAAAGTGCGGGCAGGCTAGCGTCCAATGACCTTACATTGGATGGCATTGGGCCATTAGGTTGGTAGTCTGGCTGAGGAGGGGGGGGAGGGACTGGAGAGACTGTGTGTGTATTCGTCTTGTGTATTCTATGATGCTGGTGACACTTGTTTACCATGGAAGTCGGGGAGCCGTTGGTGACCACGAACTGTGGTTAATTTGGCTGCGGGAAAAAGAAGCGTTGGGCAACGTGTAAGAGCAACAACACTATCCCAAACCAGACTGAGGGGTTTCTTGTGTTTCTTACGGATACAAGCAGCAACTCGACAGACAGCAAACAAGCCCCTGCCCTCAGCAGCAAGTCACAACAGAAAAGCTGAGGGACAAGGAGGTGGAGAGGTACCACTGTGTAGGAGCCAGAAACGAACCTCAGCTTCAGAGAGTCCCAGACTTCTGGTGGAGTGTCTGGGGATTATCGGGACTAAGGGCTTCGGGAAAAGCAAAAGGACACTGACGGTTGAGGATCACAACGGAGACGTTGCCATCCGGAGAGGGCTTCGGTCAGGGGCTTGAAGAAAGGATACGGGCTGGCAATCTGGTTTGGGCTTATAGTCGAGTCAATGAGATGACCCGAAGCACATTGGCCACGGTTCGTCATGAATGACTGTCAGACTGACAGCGCAAGGAAAAGGGAGGCGAAATGGTCATCCCGGTTAAGCATAGTTGGGGGGGTTATCGGTTTGGGCTCTTGGAAGACCGTAAGGCGGGAAGGCCAAGCAGATCCAGTCCATAGGCGGATACGACAGCAAATGAGTGAGTAAAGGCGTGGTCAGGTCCCCTTGGCCAACGGTCCAACCGAATCCGCCGTCGACGAAGCCTAGAGGTGCCAAAGAGAGAGTCTGGGCTTGGAGGGGATTGAGAGACATTGTGTGGTGAAAATGGGCTCGATGTT